GTGCCTGTGTGCGAGAGCTGGGGCTCAGTGTGGCCTCGTGCCTGTGTGCGAGAGCTGGGGCTCAGCGTGGCCTCGTGCCTGTGTGCCTGTGTGCGAGAGCTGGGGCTCAGCGTGGCCTCGTGCCTGTGTGCCTGTGTGCGAGAGCTGGAACTTCTCTGTCCCATTAGCTATTAGGGCCCCAACAAGCTAAATGTCAAGCAAGTACTGATGAGACCGAAAGCTGCCTTTCCAACAGCAGGGGCTACTCCTCTATTCCACCACAGTCCAAACAGCAGCTGCCCGGTGGCGTCACCTGGCTGCTCACGACTGGAATGACTAAGGAGGCGGCAGCAGAGGCCGCAGGCCGGACTTACGAAGTGGATCATCTTGCAGGAGCCCAGCCGGTCGCTGAGGCCCATCCAGCGCTGGTACTCTGGATACTCCCCCCGGGTCAGGACGTACTGGTAGCCCATGTAGTTGGGGCGCTCGTACAGGACCCAGGCCCCGCTCTCCACTCGGATGGAGTTGCAGCGGCTCAGGTAGGTGTGGAAGTCGGAGCAGTCGCTGTCGCACTCATACCGGCGGCCCTGGAAGTTCTTGTCCTCGTAGAAGATGATCTGGGGCAGAAGAGAGACGAGAGGAAGCGCTCTCAGTGGCCGAGCAGTACGTGGGTGTGAAGAGACACCGACCTTCCAGGCAGGCTGGCCTGGAAGCCCAGTTCAGCGAGGGATCTGTCAAGAACTCAAGAACTTGCTATTACCCCACTCTCCCTCTTTCACAACCTAATGAGAGCAGCTGTGTTACAAAGCTTCCTCTTGTTAGGCAAGATAGGATTGATTGAGCCATCAGATGGATCTTAAGATCTGTTGGCAGACAAAAAATATTTTTCAGGATTTCTAGCATGGGGGAAGTGTGTCTAAACGAATACCCAAAGCGTTTTCTGAGATGAGTAGCACTGGCAGGTACACGGAGAATCACAGATAACTGTTGTTAAGTAAACTCTCTCCATTTCTGTAGAATAGCCTCCTTCATTAGGAGTTGATACAATACTGCTTTCAAAGCTCCAGTGAAGAGCAGGCTGCACCTCTGATTGAATACATCTGCAGAAGTCATGACATCCTCCACAAACACAGGTCGGCAGCTACTGAAATGTTCACCCAAGACTCTTCTACACTATGGAAATGTTGATACTAAAAAGGGACGGAGGTCTACAGAGACCTCAAAGCAGGAGTTCTTATGAAAACGAGTAAAGTTGATTGGGAAGCTTTTGATCATTTTCTGTAATGACAGCTCTGTCATCATTTAAGGGGCAATTCCTGTTTGCAGGCTCTTCAATTAATCCGAGCAGCAGTACTTCAGTTATGAGCCCTCTTGAAGTGGTCACGGACGGTCATCGTCTTAGGACACAAATAATTATTAATACTTCAGACATTCTAGCCTAAACTAGAGAACTAATCCCGAGGCGTAGCAATTATATTTATCTGTACTGTCTTTGGATATCTTAACGAAAGCACATTCCAATAACCCCTACTTCACTTTACAGTCGCACTGTGAGGTGTGCAGAACAGTAACATTTTGCATGCAAATCTGTAGAACTAAACTAAAAAAATCAGAACAGGCGTGCAGACTGAGTAATCGCTTGTGATTGGTGCCTGACTGGCCCAAGGCTACAATAACTTGCAAAGAGGCGCCAGAGATTTACAGTAGTAACACAGGGCAGAGGCAGGATGCGATGCTACGCCGGACACTGGTGACCTGGGCGCAGCTGGCCTGCTGGGTCTCTGTGCAGTCTCTCGGTACTCACCCGGCCCATCGCTGACATCGTTTCCCTGAAGTCCGCGTGAAGTTGCACTGTGAAGCCGGACCCTCGCGCTGGGCCCCTTTTTATAGCCCGCTGGGTTTTATAAACGGGACAACCGCTTTGTCATGAAAATGAGATCCAAAAATTGAGTCAGTGATTCTAACGCTATTCAGGTTTTCCAGAAAAGCAAAGCGGGATTATGGCATAAAGGCAACACAGTAGAATTCCCATTGAAGCCCCCTGCTGCCCTGGCCAAACCTGCCCCCCCCGCCAGGGCCAAATGCACACACTCTGCCCACTTACCCCTCCTGTGCCAAGATCCCTGCCAAATTTGGGAGCCCTGATGGCCTGGATTACTGCATTTCATTGCGTGTACAAAACTGATCCCCTTACTCAGTGCTTTTTTCTTTAATATGCAAGTTGGTGGCGGGGGGGGGGGAGATTCTAGATCCATCAGCTTTGCCAATAGAAAAACAGAAAGCAGATCACAATCAAGGGCCAGCCTTAGGTTCAGTCAGTGAGCAAGACCCATGTAGAGGAGAACTGATCATCAAGATGGAGGGGAGGAACTGAGCAGCTGCTACTTAACAGGAAACTCTTCCCTTCATTTGTAGTCCACTGGAGACAGCGGCACACTTGTGACTGATTATACAGGGTGGACCATGGGTTAAAATGAACTGATGCAGTTTAACCGAGCTAGGAAGAAGGAGAGTGCGGCTCATGATTCTGTAGGTGTGACTGCACTTCCTGTCGGCCTGTTTTTCAGTATGTGTCTCTGCCAGTTTGTCAGAGCATAATCAAGCAGCCCCAGCAGGGTTCGGTTCTGGCCCCCAGCAGCTTGTGAGGCCAGTACTGCACCACTAGTGCCTTTCTCCTCACCTGTCCCTTTGGTGCACCTATACATTTACCCAACAGAGGGCACTCTAACAGCACTCCCCTTCCAGGCTGGAGGATCACAGCACTTCAGAGCCATACCCAAGCATCAGTAAAATGGTGTTGGAGATTATCCACATATACATGTTTTAAATTTACTGCATTTGACTGGAATACAAAAATAGCCTCACACTCAAAATGACCATAACTACATGCAGTTGTGTTAGGGTTTGTAGTATACAATATGAAGAAATATAACCTAACGTGAGAAATATGGAGCAGTATAGCCCTGTTGTCACCCTAAATGGCCAAACACTGCAATCAGTCCCTTACACACTTTGACAATAACTACATGTCAGAGTCAAGGCACAGAACTGAGTGCTTTATTGCTCAAAAATGTGCTTTACAAAACCCTCCTTCCTTCCTTCCTTCATTCATTCATTTTTTGGTGTAATGTATAGAAGAACTTACACATTGTGAACATTAGATGAAACAGGAGCACATAAGTTTACATAAAGGTAAAGTGTTGTAAGGCTGTTTCAGAAAAGGCAGGATACCTAAGGCTTCCTATATGCACCCTATGTTAACACAAGGAGTTTCAGGCTGTTTTACCTGTAAAAACAAAACCGATGTATGTTTCCAAGCCTTAACATTTCCAGGATAATTTGTCGCTTTATTTGCAAGAAATTGAAGACAATTCTTGGGACCTCCACTTTGTTTTTTGTATTTTTGGATAAAGCAGGTGCTCCTTTTCAACAAAATGCACAGCTGAATTGTTTCTCCAGCTCCAGGCGTCCCTGTGCTGTCCCTTCTCTCTTCCTCTGTCTTGGAGACAGGTTTCAGCTCTCAGCTCTCACTGAAGCCAAGAAGGAGGAGTGGGTGAATGAGCACCTGGTGTAATATCTGTCACCCTCTCCCCTCTTCAGGTCAGCAGGACAGATTTCATATACTAACAACAAATCAGGCATAAATATGCAGTTAAGGTGTTGTAAAATTCCACTCTATTAAATGTTCCTCTTTATATATACACCCATTGTCTATCTCAGTTCATTTACAGGAAGAATCGAAAAAAACACACTAGTGCAAACCATACTCTAGACTACAGCTGGTCACATCATAGGGAACACACCGTTATAGATGAGCCATTGGTGATACTCTCTAAGAACTGATGATGGAGATCACAGAGAGAGGTGAGGAGATTTGTGCCCTGTAGTGTACTGCTCCTGAAGCCTGGACATGAGAGAACAAAAGTCAATATGTCCAGCTTTCATAATGCACTAACTGTGCCACACACCAAGGTGAGCTGAAGCCCCTCTGCCCTGTGAAACCATCGAGTGGGCTACTGCCACTCTCACCGGGAAACACGGTTCACACTCAGGCGTGTGGAGGTTCGAGTGGGCCGCACAGAGACCAGCTGCCGACGTGGTGCTTTGGGATTCGTGATCGAGCGCCCCGAGACGGGGGCGCGCAGCGCGACTACCCAGCCGCCTGTTTCGTCTCTGGGGGGGCGGGGATGAGGCTGTCCAGCTGCTGCCTGTGTCCCGACTCCAGGAGCCACTCGTGGAACTTCTGTTCGACCAGAGCCTGGAACTGCCTGCGCTGCTCCCTGCAGAGGGCGACACAAACCATTAACACACTGCAGACTGGCACACGGGTAACAAACGAGGCTTCCCCGCGAGGGCAGCACAACAGCTGTACCGCCTCTCCGCTTGGGGTTGGTAATCCTGACTCACTTGTTGAGTTTTGCTTCCTTGACTGTCCTTTGCCAGTTCTGCACCCTCTGCTCTCGTGCTGTCAGGGCCTTCTGATACTGTGGGGGTAACCCCCCTGGTATCTCGGTGGTGTCCCCCTCCATCTCGAAGGGCACCACCAGCGGACAGAACTCGCTGGGGGGCAGCAGGCGATAAGGCGGGTTGCCCAGGGGTCCCTCGGAGCCCAGCAGGAGCGGCTGGTCCCAGCTGCTGGGAACCACAGCGAGCCCCACGCTGGCCATGTGGTCCTCCAGCGAGGGGTAGTGCGTGTGGAAGGGGGCCAGAGTCAGGGCCTCGTTCCCCGGCAGGAGCAGAGGTCGCGTCGGGGTCAGCGCGTGGAAGGTGCAGCGGGAGGAGGCGCCCACCGACAGGCGGCCCGCCACGCAGACCACGCACACGTCCTCGCAGCTCTGCACGTGCACGGTGGACTGCACCGGGCCCAGCACCACCGTGGTGTTGCGGCACTTCTCCACACTCACGGACCTGCAGCGACAGGACACGGGGTTAACAGTCCACCTGGGAGAGCCCCATTGACCATGGCTGGGAGATATCCATCTCTCCATATACTATACGTTCTTATACCTCTATACTTACATATATAGAGACATTTCTTTTTGTTTTGAATTTTCTCATAGTCAATTATATTGTATACATCCACTCAATTTGGACGAGCCAATTGTGTTTTTCGGGTCCTGGCTTGCACAGGCAAGGCAGAAAGAGAAAGTGTAGGCGGACTCCCTTCGATCTGTCATAATTCGAAGCGCTCCTCTTTTAACATGGCACAGGCGGCACAGCGCCTCCCCAGAGGAGGGCAGAGCTCCTCACTGACAGCACTGCTTACCTACAGGCACCTGGGAGGCCATGGTGTCTGAGAGACAAGACAGCCCTGGGTAACCGAGCAGTCTTGGCCTCTGTTCCGATCACCCTATCCTTGGTGCCACCCATCCCACAGTGCACTGCCCCTTGGGGAAATCCCAGTCACAGTGGCCTGGGGACATGACCCAGGCACAAACCCACAATCCTGGAGCTCAGCCTGCTCCCAGGAAAGCACATGAGCCAGTGGAGCCACTTGGGAGGCTTCACACTGGACGAATTGAGACCACCGGAAGAGGGGCGGGGAGCACAGAGCCTGAAACGGATCAAAACGGTACCCGTGTATTTATCCACGGGCTGTAGAGGGGGCGGCGGGACAGACAGACGACACGCGTGCCAGCGCAGGGGGACAGGACACTCGCCTGAGCGGAGTCAGCAGGTAGATGTAGGCCTCGCTGCAGCGGTGCAGTTTGACGTTGGCTCCTGCCAGCTTCTCCGAGTCCTTGGCCACCGTCTGCCGGTACACCTGGGACATGAGCACCACCCTGCTTCCCGGTGGGGCGATGTGCGTGTTCCGCGCGATCTTCGCCCTCTTCATTGCGCCGTCCACTTTAAAAAAAAAAACAACAGACGATGGGGACTACCGAGAGGGCTCCGATTCGTAGACGACAGACCCAGGACTTTATTCCACTCGTTTCTCAAAGGAAGGCTAAGGAGCAGCCCCAGCAACGTGATGGTATAGACCCTCTAGACACTTACGACAGCAGGATAGCAACAGTTGATCTTGTAAGCCCTTCCAATGTCAAAACACATCCAGCCCACGACACTGTTCTCTCTCTGAACAAGTGGTGCCCTGTAAATAATGCACCCTGGTTTGTGATTACCGGAGGATTTTAAAATACGTTTCTGACCCTTTAACAGGCTCTGTCCTCACTGTTCAAACATGAAATTTATTCTACAGATCTTGAGATTTGTTCTACGCTGCATCTGTGAGTTCATGATGTGTATTTCTTTTTACACTGAAGCTCACCTTGGATGATGCCTTCCCCAGAACAGTTAATGATACATCATCTAGTCATTTACTCAGCGGCGGGCACGGGGGCAGAGAGGTGGCTGCAGTACCTTGCTGTGCCCAGGCCAGCTTCTTGCCGGAGCGCAGGCAGGCTGTGGTGCCGAAGGGGTTGGCGGTCAGCGACTCGCGCAGCCAGGCCTGCAGCCGCGGCAGGGAGAAGCTGTGGGTCAGCGCAGAGTAGCCAGCCTGGGCCTGCAGGGGCCCCCAGCCCAGCAGCTCGTGGAGGCCGTGCACGGCCCGCCCCCGGCTCAGCGACCCCTCCAGCAGGAAACTGAGCCCCCGCAGCGCCTCAGCCGACACCTGGCTGTCGTGCACTGCCTGGCCCGGCCCGCCCAGCTGCTCCGGCTCAAGAACCAGCTCCAGCAGGTCTGACAGGTGGGTCTGGATGAAGCTCAGGTGGGCCTGGTCATCCCAGTTCTGCAGTCCGGCAGGGAGATGAGCACAGAGAGACAGGTGAAGTCAAGAGAACATCTTTTTTCCCCATCATGCTCAATGGAACTGTACACATTTTGGTCTTACTAGTGCACTGTACAATAAGAACATAACATCCCTCAATATAAAAGCTTTGCTTCTAACTTTAGATCCTTACATGCCTTTCTTGTTGGTTTCCCACGTTGTCTAAATCAGGGACTCAGTCCTGGTCCTGGAGTGCCAGTTTTCTGCTGGTTTTTGTTCCAGATGGCACTTAATCAGCAATACTAATCTGTACCTGCACCTGATCTGCTTGTTGGTTTAATTTTTTTCCACACTCACCCCTTGGTTTCAAGAGCACCCCAACATACATTATTTCCAACAGACGAGAGCTTAGAACCCCTTCTTTATTTGTAGTTACTTTTTGCTACTTACATGTCACACTCCACACTGGTCTACACCTGTCAGATGTTTGTCAACTCTTGAATTGTAACTAACTTTTTTTTTAATTTCATGTGCAGCTCCTAGTACTTGTTAAACCCTCCCTTTTGGTATTATTTTCAAAAATTGCCTAGTTTCCTAACTATATCAGAGTCCGATTGGTTCTAGATATAAAATAGGAAGGAAAGCCCTGTGGTCCTAATACATAGCCCTGTGGTACTCCACTAATTATAACACCTCAATTTGAGTCTTCACTTCTTTCTGTAATCTAAGCACTCATTAACCAGTTCTCACAGAAGAGACATACATCTCCTTGAACTGTGCCTTTTACAAGAAATTCAAGGAAATCAATGTCTCTGGTTCGAGAACTGCCTGTGATTTTCAAATTAGACTAAGGTACTTGATCAAAGGCTTTCTGAAAATCTAAGTACTCCACATGACATGCTCGTTCTGTATGCCCTACTGCTCTTGCTAGTTCAAACAAGTTCTAACACGTCAGCTAGCAAGGCCAACCTTTTCTACATCCCTGCCGGTTATCCCTTTGAATCACCCTGCTATTGAAATGATCCCAACGGTCTAGTTCTAATTTGTGTTTGCCACAACCTTACATGCAAAACGAGTAAGACCGATTGGTCTGCAATTACTAGGGCCTCTGCCGAAGCACCAGTCTGTGAGGAGGCCGGCAGCCTGCGAGCCACGGCGCTTGCCGGGGTGCGGCGGCCGAGTACCTTGTTCTGCGCGGCGGTTTTGGCGTCGCGGTCCGGGGAGGGCGAGCGGGAGCGGGACCGGGGGCTGGGCCACTCCTCGCCGATCAGGGACGTGCGCAGAGAGACGCGGTTCAGCTGCTGGATGTAGAGAAACAGCAGGAACTGCAGAGTGTCCACGGAGAGCTGGGAGGGGGACACAGAGAGAGTGGGGACGAGAAGGGGGGCGGAAGAGATGAAAGGGGTGGTTAAGACGCCGTAAAACATCTGATCCCTGCCATCTCATCATGCCCAGAAAGGAATGGGGGCAGATATCCTTGAAGCCCCCTGACACCACTGCCTTTCGCCTCTCACCACTCCCCCTCGCCTAACCCCGTGCTCCCTGCGCTTCAGGCTCCTCTCCCCACCTTGTACCGCAGCTTGTCCAGCTCCTCCACCGAGCCGCACTGCGACACGGCCTCCGCCCACTCCAGCCGCTCCTCCGAGGGGCGCGGTGCCAGCAGGTCGCAGGTCTCGAAGTAAAGCCAGGCGGTGTCTTCGGGCAGCTGCAGCTTCCCGCAGGCGATGTGGCGCCAGAGCGGCCAGTGCAGCCGCGGGAAGCAGCCCTCCCGCGTCCGCGCTCGCACGTAGGCCGCCATCTTGCGGAGGTAGTGCATGCTGAACTTGGCGGGGGGGGCAGCCGGCAGCACGCCCAGGAGGAAGGGCTCCAAGCGTGGCCACACACTGACGCTGCGCTGCTCCATCACCCTGGGGGAGAGAGAGAGGCAGGGACAGAGGGGTTAAAACACACACTGACACCCTGGGAGAGAGAGGCAGGGACAGAGGGGT